TTGTTTCAATGATATCCATAAGTAATGGAGCTGTAATAGCTGGTTCACGATGAATAAGTGTTCCACATACTATTATGCAATAACCAATACATTCAATAGATTGTCCACATTTATCACATTTCAGTACAGCTCTAAATTGATTATGTGTATCTGTATCAGCATATGGATTATCTAATTCATCATTGGTCACGGTTGTTACTCGCTCAGTACTGATGATGTTATACGACTAGTTTTTAAATGACCTTGTGACAGTGATGTACGTGTTGAACTACTGAAGAAATAAAAAAATAATTAATTAAACAAAAAAGTTTCATGAACCTTAACGTTGGTGATTGAACATTTGAATCGTCTTTATATTTACTTTTTTTACTATAATAATTTGGTTTGAATTTTTCATCAGTTGCTGTACCACGCAAACTAGCTAATGTAGATGACGATAATGATATTACCTTAGGAATTTTTAGTGGACTTTCTTCTGTAAGAAAAGTCAAAGAATAAAATTTATTCATGGCTATTTGGGCTTAAATTAACCTTTAGTTCCACGCTATCAGGTTTAAGTGAAACAATATCAAGTTTACTACGTTCATCTGAACAAACAACATGTGAAAGTTCTTTCATCCCTATGAAGATATTTATTTTCTTTTTTAAATTTGTCGAAGTAATTATTACTTTTGATACCTTTCACATCGAGTTCAGTTAATTTTTCTGTTGGAATCATTAATGATGATTGTCCTATTCTAGTTGATGTACTAGGATTAACACCAGTTGTACTTATTGTTCTATTACCAGTAAGAAGACTTTTTTTAAATCCTGTATATGATCGACCAGTTGAACCAACATTTTCCTCTCTTTGTCGAATAGATAATGGTTAGAGATGGTTTTTATTTTTGACTGAAAAAGATATAATATTCAATGACTTTTATTTAATACTGAGAAAACGAGCAATTGATCAAGGAAGAAAGTTGCTTTTTTTATTTTTCGACTGAAAAAGATTTAATATTAAATGATTTTTATTTACAATATCAAGAAAAAGAACAGCTGATTGAAAATAAAGATATGTTTTTGGAATTAAAAATATTATTCTGTCGTATGATCCGCAACGAAATTCTTACAAAAAAAGCAACGGGTCGAATATAGACATTTTGTTTGTTTCTCATGTGATAAAAGGTTGCTCAATGATTTTCAGTGAAACTATCAAAATTAAGAACAACTCATCAAAGTATAGCGACTGGTCGTTATTTTCAAACTAGTATGAATATGCAAACTAGATCGTACTCAAACTCGAGAGTTTAATAATAATCAATCGAAAATAGGTATTTTCGTTTTTCACTATATAATGCTGAATAATATGTATTATGTATTAGAAGTTAGCAGAGAAAAAGAAAGCGATTAAAAGTTGACGATGATATACAGTAAAAAGTAGACAAGACGAAGCAGTTTGCTTGAGTATTATGAATATGATAAGTTGCTAGCTTATAAATGATGAAAAGAGAACAACATCGAATAACAAAAATTTTTACTCCAAAATAAGTATAATAAGAGCAAAACATATGATAAAAAAAGTATTATTATGAAGCAATGTAAGTCTTTATGATGTGAAGTATATTGTTCTGCATCTATTTTAAGACGACATAATGACTTGATTTTGCATGATCTGATCGCTCAGAATTTCCAGTATTGATTTTGTTAACGTGATCTACAATATCATGTGGATGATGATCATCGAGCTTTTGTTCATTAAAACTATTCTGTCGAATTGTATCTATTTCATGGTTCTTATCACGTTCATTCATGAGACAAGATTCTAACAGAACATTCACTTTTTTTTCCTAACACGAGAATACTTGCTAAATATATTTTTTTGTAATTCGATTCTTACTTGTTGTTCAGATGATGAGTCAGCTAATTGATCATTGCCTTTTGTTGTTGAACTACAAACATCTATCATAAATATATACAATAATGTTTCGACATTCACATGCAAATTTAAAGCATTTACTGTGTTCTGAATTATTCGATTGAAGAACATCACTATCAGGTGTTGATGAAGAATTATGCGATTCCAAGTTGTCTAGAAAGCAAGTTTTATTAATTCGATTTGTGAATTAAGAGTGTCTAACCATTTGATTCCACCTCTGGAACAGGTGAAAATGGGTATCCAGCGCGAAACTCATCATCATCTAAATACATGTCTAATGGCCAATGAACAAACTCAGGAAGTAAAGGACAATTAAAAACTGGATTAAAATCACTATTAAAATTTGCCATTGTTTGTGTATCTTTGAAATTAAACTGAAAACTAATATTACAATCTTGAAATAGAGAAAACGAATAATTGAATGATAATATTTCAATCATATATCTATATATAACTTCAAGCGTGAATAACATAATATTTTTAAAAAGAGGTTAAGACACTAAATGAATTTGCATGCACACAAAAAAAAAAGACAAATATAGTTTATTGCTTCTTGCTAATTCAATTGAACGTTAAATACCATGTTTACGTTCGAATTCTAGTGTGAATTCTAAAAGTTCTTCATCAGAAATTTCTGAAAGTGGTATAGCCATTTTTGCTGCGCTCACGAACTTTGGTGGAGAGCTATTTGCAGCAGAAGGCATCGAAACTTTTTGCTCAAGCATAGGCGTTTCGATTTTCATTTTCTTGGTCTGAACGTCCAGATCTTCAGCAACAGGGCGTTTTTCTGTATGATTTGATGACTTTGACACCTAAAATTTATTTTGTTAAGAAGTTAGAAGAAAATATGATATCTCACTGCGGTGTCATCGTTCAATTTGACCTGTTCAAAAGAATTGTTTGTTTTCCCTGAATTATCTATAATGCGAGACATTTATTTCAAGACAAAGTGATAATTTTTTTGTTGTTCCTACTTGATAAGTTCGACATGTTATTGAATTTAATTGGTAAATGTTTATAAGCTTTTACAAGCTGAATGATCTAAATATATAGCAAATATATAGCTAACGTTAATATTTCGAGTTTTTTATTCATTTATTGTATATATGAAGTAAATAATAATGTATATATGATTTTTAGAGTGAATAAGAATAATATTCTACGCTAAGAAATAAAAACTAATTTACTCATTGAAACTATTCTATTACAATCAATGACGCAAATGCATTTAAAATATAACTAAAAGACATGTCTATTCGGATTTTTGAGAGCAAATGCGTTTTATAAAAGCTTCTTGAAGTCTATGAGAATCGATGTTGGGAAACGGCAATTGACGCGGTTGATAGGTGATTGTAATGGTTTGAATTCCACCATCATCATTCATTATTTCTCGTGTTTCTTCTCTCTTCTCTTCAAGAACAGTACGAGCCATGATATCAATATATAATAGATTCTCGAACTGTTGAGGTTCGAGAAAAACGAATCCTCTTTGGCAATAACGAATAATCCTGTTGCAAATACTTTTGTCCATATCTCCATGTAGTGTGTAGCATATAAATGATTTTGTCGCTATCGCCTGGAGAAAAGCGAATGTACACAATATATGCGAACCTGTTAAGAAATTAGCTAACAATTTTTTCGTTGTCCTAATTTGTCAAACCTGTGAATCCAACTTGAGTGATATCAAGATCACTAGAATGAAGAACATAACTGACAGGATCTGCTGTGTCAGGAACATCTTTAAAGTTGAAGCGTAACGTAATACCCAAAGATAATTCAACATTGTAAACACAGCTACCCTTTTTTATTAATGTTGCACGTAAGTGGCCGTGCTTCAACAAAATCGATGTCAAATTACTAAATACATTAACAACGGCATCGTTGAACTCGTCTAATGAATTGCCATTGAAATTTATATCCACTTGTTCAGTCGCAGTATCTGTAAATAGCTGCTTGCAAAGACTGTTGATTATGCAACCACCGGAAATATGAAATTTTTTAAAGTCAATTGCTTCAATCCATTTAGAAGAATTGAAACGACTTTCAAAGTTCATCATAAATTCAGCAATTGATTCAACAAATGATATTTGTTTATTTAAAATGTTATGTTGGAGTGATCGAAAGAATAAACACTCTAAATTAAAGAATAGCATGTATAGCAAATACTGTTTGAAGATGAGCATTCAAATAAATAATATATTATCGCTCTGGTAAAGTTTTGCTCTATTTGCACAAAATCATAGCAAATTTCGATTTCAAATAGTTGTTTTTTTCAGATCTCACTTTTAACCCTTAATTTGTTATATTATATTCAATCTAATGTGTAGAGTACTCCTTTTCACCTCTTGCTATTCATTATTTAACCGTTCTTCTTCTTGTACAATATTATAATTCCTTTTTTTTTCTTTCATTCAATGTCGATATGTAGGTCATTTACGAACATCATGTATATATAGATCATTTTTTTTTCTTTTTCTTTCTCTTTCATATCATCTGTTTGATCAGCTGTTCAATCAGCTGTAGTGTTGTACTGATTGATTTATCTCATATTGCTGTTACTTTCCGTATAGGACGTCTTTTACGACTAGCTGTTTGATTGTCTGTAGTCATATACTGCCTTTGTTTCATTTCACACCGCTATCATTATTCATATTAGGATACTTTATTTGATCAGATAGTTTAATATTTCGTTGAACATGTTTTGAAATATCCTTTATAACTTTTTTATTTTAACTAATCGACTGTTTAGAAAATTATACCGTTGAAAAGACTTCGTTCATGAACATTTAATTCACGTGCGCAACTGATCATATGTTTATAATTAAAGTAATCGACTAGAACCAAATTGTCAACGTATGTGTATGTATTGAGTGGCAATAGACGGCTGTAACATTGGAAAGATGGAGTCTTGTACGTACAACATAAATGTTCAAAAGCTCCAACTGTAAACGTTGGATGAATGAAAAGGCGCAATACAGGTGGCGCTCCTCGGCTATATTGTTCTGGAGATAAATATCCGTGTTCGTCGATGGTACATGTGTCCAAGTAAAAATGAAGATATAGAACATTAACTTTCATTTTTTCTTTCCTCATCAACTTCATAAACATTTTAAAGAAGATTTGCTCTTCAGTTATTTCAATAGTTGAGAATTGTTCGGAGCCATTTACAGCTTCCATAAAATTAATCACATTCAAACCATCGAGATATTTTATTAACAGATATCCTATATCTTGGTTTAATGCAACTATGTTTTCATTTTTTGCAGTTTGACAATAGAATAATGAAGTGCGAATCATATTCAAATAGGTTATTGAAAATCTTAAATAAACAAAAATTATGGAATCCATGGCTGAATGGTTAAAGTCAAAAAACAGAAAAAACAGAATAATTCATTGAAAACGAAAACAAAGAAATCTTACAAATCAATTACAAAAGTACATAAAATTAAATGTTTTGCTTTAGAGGTATTTATAAAAAAAGTTAATAGAAAAGGCTTTGCCACATAATTTTTTTATGCCGATGTTCTTCAGTTCATATTTCTCTTTTTATTTACATCAGAAAACAACAATATGTGTTTGACAAAATATATTTTAGTCTGCAGATAATTTGAATGTAATTGAAGCACAGCTATATTATAGTATCGATACGATATATTGCCAATTCAAGAATAGTTTGACATTTAGTGTATTATTGCATATTTACTATTGAATTATAATCGTCATAGAAAAACATCAGATCATTGCCTATACTGCAAGAAAAACAGTTTGTATATTTTTTAGCGACAAATTTTTATTGCTTATCGGCTGACTTAATTTTAATCGATTCTTCTCCCTTTATACGTTGAGTCTTTTCTAGAGAGAGAGAGAGCATATTGATCAAGAAAAGAAAGAAATAACATATATATATAAGTATATAGGCGTGCACAAGAAAGAAATAACATATCCTCATAAGATAAGTGCTAAGTAATGTTAATTAATAGGCGAGAGACGACAACAGTGTGTTAGCTATATGAAAAATTTTAATTCTTTTTTAAAAGTAAATGATAATTAATTATAAAGAAGCACAGAAATACAAAATAGTTTATATAAACAAAGATCTACATAGAAATAGAGCAAAAAAAATTAAAAATGAGTAACAGATCCACAGATCAATTTTTTTGTATTATCCCAGGTTAAAATAATATCTTCATATGTTGGTATATAAGCCATGCACCGTTCAAAAATTTGGATGAGTTCACGTTTGGTGGTTTCAAATCTAATTTTATCATACTTTCGTTTATACCACCAAGAATAATTATTACCCTGCACGACAACTAAATGTCTTAATTCCTCACACTCGCCTATTCGTGGCAAACCTAATGCACGACGCGAGAATGCGAAAACAAGCTAAAGCAAAAATAAAAAGATATGATTTTTTTAAAAATTTGACTTACTTCTCCATGTTTATTGACTTCGAGCACTACTTTTGAATCGCTTATGGTTATAATTAAAAGTAAATCTAGAACAGTAATTAGAGCTGTTTATTTTCCTTTTTTTTTTTTATTATCATTCTTAGTTTAAATATTGTCATTTATTCAAGTATTGAATTGACATTACAATATATATAATGAAATTTTTCTTCATATACATGTTGTATTTTATAGTAGACAAAAAAATATACGAGCGAAATGATTGATGATCGCACTGATAATGCTACTTCAGCTCAATTAACCATTTTCATCGCTTATATCTTTCTGATGTTCTTATGCCATTATATCATTTTTTCATTATATATTATTCACACTCAATGTATAATCTTTTTTCATTCAATCTATAACTTCATTTAGTCTCGCTACTCGCTTTTCTCTCTCCCATCAAAACACCAAGTTCTTCTCATATTATTGTTCTGTTCTTCTTCTCACCTCTCTGTCTGTCTGTTTCTTTCTTTCCTCTTAAATCTGTCTTCGCCTCTCTCCCTATGTCTATCCGTCTCTGTTTATTTCTCTATGTGAGGCTCTCTCTATGTCTGTCTGTTCTTCTCTGTTTCTTTTTATTTTCTTTCCAACTGATCTATAAAACAATATATAACAGACCTTCTATTAGTTAATTAATGAAGAAGTTTCGATGTTAATGCGTGTATATGATAGTTTATAAATAATTTGTAAATAAAACTACTTGACAACGTACACATGCATTAAACGAGAGAAAAAACAAAAAAAAATGTCAATGCGACAGATTTGTGAGTTGATATGCTAATTTCGATGATATTGCAATTGATGTTGCACTGTCAATTTTCGATAAAATATGCTTAGCAGATGCTAATTGTGCCATAAATAATTGCTCATGACCAACATCTGTCCTGAAGTCATTAATATCATTAGCAAGATCTGGCCAAGATAATCGTAGACCAGCTAACAAGAGATCCTTGATTTGAACAGATGTAGCAGCTTTTAAGTAAAATGCCGTTGAATGCGTCTGAAACAAATGGTTTAATGCTGCATTATAGTCGCTTCCGCTTCCTATTTTTAATAATAATCATTCATTATTTACTTCGATTAAAATGGTAAATTCTTACTGTAAAGTTGACAAACATCATCAGCGGCTCGTTGTACCTTTTTCATAGCATTCAAGCATGATTTAACATTGGCAATCAAGTGTTGCTTGTCCTTTATATTTGTAAATAGATAACTCTCAATGAGATTTACATCAAGACTAGAACTTACGAAGTTTGATTCTTGAAGAGTAGGTGTAGATGCAACAATTTGACTAGTTACTATACGTGGACCAAGGACACGCATTGCACGTTCTTCCAGTGTTTCATTAGTGCGTCGTAAAGAATCCGATTGAGATGTAATAAATGAAGAATTGCTATCGGAAAGAAAAGTAAGTATAGTAGGTGGTGATTGAAATGATATGGGTGATGTTGCAGGAATTTCTTGATAATTATATATATTAGATCGATCTTTATGTTTATCCGAAGAAGAATGATGTGGTTGAAACGGTTTTAACGTAATATTTCGGAGTCGTTTGGAAGTTCGATCAGCATGTTTTATATCAGCATCTGATGCAAAACTAACAAAATACACATTTCCCTTCGATGAGCGCCGCTTGTCGTAAGAAACGATACGCAATTTTGATCTTAATTCTGGAGTTAATTTTTGTGTGTATAGAACACGTTGGTACTTCATGATCTAGTAAAGTAAACATCATTTAATCATATAAACTACTCTGTTCAAAGATCTATGACATTTTACCATCATACATTAAAAAGAAAAAACATTAAAAAAGCCTATAAGACAATAACTTTACCGAACAATTTGATTCTAAGGTATCTGATGGATTTATTAATTTCCAATGTAAAATTGATTCATTTTTCTATTTACGAAACATAGTCTTCATCTTCTATCCATTACTTTCTATTCTCTTTTCTTTTATCTTCAAATAAAATCAGTCAAAGTTCTCTCTTTGAGATGTTGTAAAGATTTAATATTCTTCTCACTATATAGGAGTTGCTCGTTGTATAATTCATTGTATCATATTTTTTAATCTTTTTGATGCTGTTACATTTATTCAGTTGCGCGACTTTGAATGAAAATTTACTTGAATATTTTTTTTTCTAGAAATCAAACTGTGTTTTGTTCTATTAACTCAGTTACATTCTCTCTTTCGATTTCTTTAAAAATTTTCAAACTCTATCTTCTCTTTTGAAGTGAAAAAACTTAAATATGTCTCTCACAAAATATCTCTCTCTCTTTATAAAACTCTTTTCATCGTTTAGTGTATTCGACGTGATTCTATTTATTGAATTTTTTAATTTTGAAGTAAAAAATGAATCTCTCTTTTTTCCTATAAAACGAATTTTTTTTTCTTTAACGTCTACGTTTCAAACTTTTCAATTTATTTCTTTTTCTAGACATTCAATAAATAACTTGTTTCGTGAATCTTCAAATCTTTATTCTTATTTCCACAATTAATCATCTCTATTTCTATTTATTAGTTTATGCTATTCTTTTTATCATAAAAACTATCTTTTTTTTTATATAATTCTATTCATTCTGTCTTTCATTGATCCTGTTATATTCAATATGAGTGTTGCATGAATATGATGTCAATTTTACTCGGCAGAGTTCTTTTTATGTGATGTATATTATCTTTATGTTTTTATGTTTTTGATTATTTGATTTTTTTCTATAATAGGCCTGTTGATGCATAAAATTTTTATCTGCTACGAAGTGTCGCTCGACTAATATAAATCTAAAACGATGGTTTTTTTATTTGACTACTTAGACACGCAACACCAACTGTTTCAATTCTCTACTCTATGAAACTTTGTTCTAGCTGCATAGTTAACTTATATGCTCTGCTAGTTTCCAAATCGTATTTGTTGCTCATTCGAGCTACTTATAGTCACCATACTGCAAATCGTATTATTGCTCATTCGAGCTACTCATAGTCGCCATACTGCGAATCGTACTAGGGCTCATTCGAGCTACTCGTAGTCGCCATACTGCGA